CCATCACCTGCAGCCTGGTTATCTATGACCCAAACCTTTCTTGGGCCGGAGATGGTGTCTCTGTATGTAATAGCTCTCAGGGCTGTTCACTGTTCCTGGTCCCAAATGTAACAGGGATTGTTTAAAACTAGATGTACGACGGCTGAATTTGTGGGATGCAGCGTGTCTGGCCTGGGAGCGAATGCCAGTCGTCATCTCACATGGAAACAGACTGGGCTGAGCTTGGGAGGTGGGTTACTTGGATGGTGCTCAGCAATCTGAAGGGATAAGAAAAAAGTTTCCATTCCTGTCTTGCGCCTTGGGCTCTTCTGAAAATTCTACTTAATGCTCTTGTGTATCTTCATGCACATAAGAAGCCATAAAACTGGGTCCTTTGGGTCTACCACAAAACCCCTTGCTCGCAGCAGAACCTTTCTGGTGGTTTCTGTAGTATCCAGAGGGCCTGGCCCAGGGCAAGAGCTCTGTGTCCCCATTCATTTCAGCGTGGCATCCTCTGTGTTTTCGAAAATCTCAGCATTTCAGCATTGTTCCTCCCAAAAGTGTCTGTATTTAAGTGAACGCTGGGCTAACGCCTCTCTCTACAGATTGAAAAAAAATCCTTTGGGGGGGGTTTATTTTCCAGGGTTGATCAGTGTTTTTCCATCCAGCTGCTTTTCCCCTCCCTTTCTGCAATGAATGTATTAAAACCATGGTGACGGCTGTACCTGTGCGCACCTGGTGGCCTTGCCTGTGCAGTATTTACCCCAAAATTGAGGTTTGGGGTTACCTGTTATTTGTGCAAAAGGTTTAAAAGCTCCCTGGGCAATTTGGACAAGAGGTTTGTTCCTTATAAACCTTCCAAAATCCTCACGGAGGATGGGCTACGTGTTCCCGTGGGGCTTCTCATGGCTTCGCTCCCTCCCGTTGGTCCTCCCACGGATGTGCGCAGGGATGGATGGGGAAAGGGAGACACAAGCAGGGTCCTGAGAAGGGAAATGTCTTGCTGCTTCTCCCTAGATAGAGAAGTGGAAAGGCTAAAGGACAATAGCAATGACTACTGACATGGTCTGAATACATTGTTTTTGCATCATATAAATCCGAGAGATTTATCTGCATTTTGCAGGCTGGGGAATACATCAGTATTCATTTTAGCCTCTGGAAAAAAATATAATATTTGGTCTCGGGAGAAATGCTAGGATAATATCCCCTGTGGGGTTTACTGGAATAATGCTCTATTCTGCAGAAAGCCCTGCAGTAGGGGAATCCTCTGTACCCCAGCTGCTTTGAATGTCCTATTGTGCACTAAACTAATGAAAAGATACTTGGTTCCCTATGTCTGCTTACTCCTTTCCAAACTCTAGCGTAGCCAGAAAGTTAAAACAACCGGTGTTGGCTACCTAGCTTATTTCCTTCTTACACATCAATTAATTATCAAAGAAACATGGTTCTATATTGTTACAGCCTTTAAAACTCACTCTTCTGCTGGACTTTCATCTCCAATTCTTGCTCTTTCCTCTTCTGCCTCCCACTTTTCTTGCCTAGATGGTTTTTCCCCGCCTCAACCATGGATTTCTGGCTAACGATCAGCTTGTCTTTAGCCGGCGAGTGCTCAAGGTAGATGTGTGTGATCTGCTGCCCCCGGTTTGCTGTGATTCTCTGAGTTGCTTCTGTTTGTTCTTTCTGGTTGGCGGTGCACTGTTGCTGCGTTAAATGGGTTGTGTTCAGAAGGGCTTGTTGGGAGCATGCTTGGGTGAAACCCCATGGGAATTTAAGGGGAGTAAATAATAGGAGAAGACACAAAAATTATGAGTTTTAGGATTTGGCCACTTGTAGGAAGGTGGGGCTCAAGCAGCAAAGTCCTATAAAGGTTGATAGGAACAGTGGTGGTATTGTAAAATAAAATGCATTAAAACTAGAGTTGTCTAAATCCTCGTCTTCTAAACGTGACGTTTTAATTAGGCAAAATTCAGTGGGAGACTCTTGACATAATTGGATGCAGTGTTCAGCATTTGCAATAGGATTTTTTAAAAAAACTACACAAGTGATTTAGGAGCACAGATCTTGTTGAAAGGCCGTGGGATCTGTGCTGCTAAGTCACTTAAGGACTTCTGAAAAATCCCACACTCGTCCCTGATTTGAGGGTGGACCACATAAAATACAGTCCTCGTACTGCCTCAGTGGTAACCCTTCCAGATGTTGCTAAGAGATTTATGAAGCGCCCTTTCCATGGGGCTTTCCATTGTGCAGCTGCATGGATGTGCCCAGCCCCGGGGCTGGGCTGCGGAGGCTGGAGGGGGGTCGGGAGCCGATAACCGGGCGGCGAAACCCCACGAGATGCTCCCCTCCGGAGCAGGCACCTACCAACCTTCACCATCACATGGAGACACAGCTGCTTCTTTTTTCCTTGCAGATGCGAGCTACGCTGGGTGTTAATATATGACCTTGGCTTTATTTAAAGGATAATACTAAGTGCTACTTTTTTTTCTTTTTTTTTGGTGGGTTTCTTGGTGTGATGCACTAAGCTATGGAAGTGTGTGCATGCTCTACAGCAGCATGTTGTTGGGTCTGGGTTATTTCTGGGTGCTGCCAAATTGGTGGTTTCCGTGCAGACAATTACTGGGCAAGGGATTAATGAGATTAAACCTCGTTGGAAGGCTTTGAGCAAAATCCTGGTTAAGGAACCAGACCTAAAGGGCATGAAGCACCATGAGCTCCCAGCCTTCCCCGTTGGTCACTGTAATTAAATTCCTCTGGGATGGTGGAGGCTGGGGTGCTGATGGCTCAGGGATGCAGTGCATATGTCACAGGTACCCCTGCGGCCACCGCATGCCAACGCCACTTCATCTCACCATGTCTGTGTGAACTTCTTCCAGGGTGATCAAGGTCGAGATGGAGCCACTGGTCCCCCTGGTCCACCAGGACCCCCAGGTGCCCGGGGGCCTCCTGGTGACACGGGAAAAGATGGCCCAAGAGGACCTTCAGGCCCCCCTGTAAGAATGGGAGATGCGCAGCGAGCACGTGTCGGGCAGGTCCCACCCCAGCGAGGAAGACGAGGGTGACGGGTGTCCCCATCCCCAGTGCTGCCACCCCAACCGCTGGGTCCCCAGCCTGAGCTTGTGGTTGGGCTCTGGTGGCTGCTCGTACAGCAAAGCTTTGGGGTGTGGGGCCAAAGGAGCAGGAGGGAACCTTCTGTCTAGTTTTGGAGCAAAGAGTTGGACCTGGAGTGTGTATTTGTGGGTGCTGGTTGTAACTCGGAACACCCAGAGATCTCTTCCCTGATCTGTAGCCTTCAGATGACCTGATGCAAATTTCCAGATCACTGGCCATTTATTTAATGAAAAAAATGGGCTGCAGCACAATGCTACTGAATGTTCTAATTATCGCTGAGCGTTTTGGAGAATGAGGGATAATAATTCAATCTTGGCCTTTTTATTTTTGCAGGGTTTCAAAGGCGAGCCGGGAGAGGACGGCCTCATGGTTCGTATTGCCCAGCAGCATCCCTGTCTGCGTGCCCCTCGCCCTCCTCGCTTTACATCACCCTTTAGCTCTCTGCACCAAATAGTTTCGTGTCATTGCTTATGGGAAAAACCCATGGGAAATTATAGATGCCCTGAAGTGGGTGTTTGTCCAGGGGTACCTGTGCCAGCAGGGAGAAAAGAGGCTGTTCTTTGTCTGCTCCAGAGGGATGCACTGCTCCTGTATCCCCGTTTCTGTCCCTCCAAAGCCTCCTGGCATTGTAACTCTAATTCACTAAGGTGGGATAAAAAGGTGCTTATAATACATAAAGTACACAAGCCATAAAATAATATTTATTATTTACTGGGAGCACAGAGAACTTAGGGGCTGTATTTCTAAGGGAAGATGAGAAGTTGGCATCTGTGCCATTTTTTTAATGGGAATTAAAGTACTCTTGGAAATGCTTTTTTCCTGTTATACTCTATTGTCAAACAAGTATCCCAACTACTCTTACATTTAACAGGGTGCCAGGGGACCTCCAGGACCAAAGGTGGGTGATAAGTATTTCCTCATGTGTCTAATTTTAACGTGGATTATTGAAATATTGCTGCGTAAGGGGAGTGAAGATGAACATAAGTATTTTTTGCTGGACTTGCACTCATCTGTATGTATCAGATACAACATTTCTAAGGTATCGTGTTACCCGTTGACTTGGAGCTGCAAATGTCTGATGTGTCACCTACCCAACATCACAACCACTGCCTATGTTGAAACCTCGAAATGGGGGTGGACGGAGCCCCGGGGGGCTGGAAGCTGGTGTGCTGGGGGAATGTGCTTTCTTGCATTTTGGAGGGGGATAAAGATGAACAACACAAGCCAAGTATTTTAATTTTACAATTAATTTTGACTGTCCATACAGTTGCTCTTATTTTCTGTTATATCCCTGAACTTCTTTCTCCTCTGTGTTTGTTGCTGTTGAAGGGTGAGCCTGGCATCCAAGGGAAAAAGGTAAAATGGTGATTTTTTTTATTTTTTTTATTTTTTTGCTTTGCTTTGCTTTGCTTTTGCTCAATTAGGGAGACTATTGCTAGAGACTGATGGAGAAGCCGTGGCCGCAGCTGTCTGTACCAAGCCCTTCCTTGTGCTCCCCAGGGTTTCTCACCCGTGCGACCCCAAAGCACAGGCTGTGCCTTCAGCCTGGTTTTCATTACCACAAACAAGCCAGAAGCTGCAATCGCATCTGCCCAATAGACAAAGAATAAAATAGCAAATGCCAAACAAAGCAGTAGGTCTTGAGCCCTTTAGCTCCAATAATTCCAGCTGAACCGAGAAGTGCCTGGAGACTCTGATCTGCCCAAGGGCACCCGGGATGGGTTTGGGGTTCCTGGGATGGAAATCACTGCAGAACACCTCGGTCCCACAGGGATTGGCCATGCTCTTAGGGACAGGCACGCTGCTCGGGTCAGGTGTTGAAGACTGGGGGAGATTCGCGTGTCCGAGCTCTCCGCATTGTCTCCTGGTGGTGCACCAGGCAGGGGATAAATCCCTGCCTCTAACTGCAGCCGAAGTGCTGACAGGACCCAGCCGTTCCCTCTTGCTGCTTTGCCCCAGAACAGACGTGGTCATGGGTGCTTTTCAGGCCAGAGTTTGGCTGAAAAAAATTTCATAACTGGCCAGTGAAATTAACTTCCTCAGCACCTACCATGTGGTTTGACTCCAGGAGAACAATGAAGCCTGACAAGTGAAACAATAAAATCTCTTCCGGGCAGATGGGATGAGGTCCATGAGGATGGGTGGCAGCTTGCAGGAGGTCTTTGGGACCCAAAAAGCCTAAATGGATTCAATATCTAATTTCTATGAAAGGTGGGAGAGCACCTTCCCCAGGGCCTGCTGTAAGCAGATTCTGGGAGATGTCCATCCACCTCCCCAGGAGCAGGGGATGCAGAGGCAGAACTTGGGGGGGGGAGCAGGGGACCATGCTGCAGTCCCCTGGGCTCCTTGCTGCAGCTTTCTCCTGGCCTCCTGCAAACCTGAGTGGGTCTCAGGTCTGTGCAACACTCAGTGGGGTCAAATGACATGTTGGATCCTAGTGATAAGCGTGCACAAGCTCTTTGTGTTTCACTTTTTATATTTTATTTCATCAGGGTGATGATGGGATCCCTGGGGAACCAGGACTTATGGGCCCCAAGGTATGTTCTGCTCTGAGCCCATCTAATATAGGTTGGATGAGGCTTTGAGGTAGGTTGGCCAGGCTGGATGAGGCTTTGAGCAACCTGGGCTAGTGGCAGGTGTCCCTGCCTATGGCATGGGGGTTGGAACTAGACGATCTTCAAGGTTCCTTCCAACCCAGACCAGTCTATGAATGTATGTGCTTGGCAGCATCTTCTTCTATCTGGTTTCTTGGCATAGGATCACGGCTGGGGCAGGCTGAGAAGCACACTTCCCCCCTGACATGGAAAAAGAACAAAATAAAATGAGCAAGAGAAGCATAACACACCCCTCTGCCATGGCAGCTCTGCCCAGAAGAAGTTTGCAAATGCAACTTGTTGACTAGGACAGAGAATTGTCATTTAGAGGCTCCTCTGGCAGAAGTAAATTGGGGAGTGTCGCTGGGGATGGCTCAGAGCTGGGGTTTGGGATGGGGGGTGGGCACATCCCGGGTCGGGGTGCAGCAGGCTGTCTATCCACGGGAACCTTCTGCAGGTGCTGTGGTTTTGGGGCTGACTTTAGGGCTGAACATAACACCCCAGCCAAACTGTTAAGCCTGAAAGCTTTGTTTTTATCTCGAAAACTCCCGTTTTTGCACTTTGGCGTATTTCAGGCTAAAAGTAAAGATAAAACAAGAAAATTCTACCTTGAAGAAACCTGCTTTCCATCCTACACGTGTAGCATTTGTCTAAATTGTCTTGTTTTCAGGGAGAAAAAGGCAGCGTGGGTCCCAAGGGTGAGAACGGCACCGATGGCTTGCCAGGACCCCAGGTAAAGAACAGCCCAGTAGCCGGGAGGCTGGGCATGGCGCTGTCGGGGCTGAGAGCTTCGGCTGAGGCAGTGTCTTCTGCCTTTGCCTTCTAAAAGGCTCATAAAATGCCCCAACAGAAACAAAACAGGGGGACGTTCAGTATTTTACCTTTTCCCGGTGATTTAATGAAAGCTGGATTCAAGCAGAGATCAGTGTAAGCGTTTTTAAAACCATCTCCGTGCGTGTTTTTCATCGAATAGCTCTCCTGGGGGAAAAAGAGGCTAAACCCCGATCACGGTTTGATCCCGTGTATTGATGGCCGTGATATCGCTTCAAAGCCCTGAGCACTGATGTGCCGTCCCGTCCCGCTGACCCGCACGGCTGCCAAGGAACGCAGTGAGACAGCCGTGAGATGTTAAGTGGTGATGATGAGTCCCGGACAGCGCTCACAGGCCCTTATTTCCCCCCTCAGCTGCTTCTGATTTAGCAGGATCTGCATCCAGTTGTGTTTTCTATATCAAACAGCCCTGGCTCCTTGTTGGGCAAGAAACTGTGTATGATGAAGAAAGATGGGCTCAGGCAACACATGGCTATTTTTTTTTTTTTCCTAAAAAAAATTAACACTACTGGTTTGTTCCCATTGGGATCTGCTGAATTGAGTTTTCCTATGGACAGTCTTCTTGTTTGTACTTTTTGGAGGGCTTTGATTTAGCCAGCAAATGGATTTTCATCGCTATGGCTAAAGGTACTTGGTCTTTTTTTTTTTTTTTTTTTTTTTTTTTGAATCCTGAACTGAATTTCAGGTCGTTGCTGTGTGGGGATGCTACAGCTTTCCAAAAACCTCCCAACTTTAAAAAAAAAAAAAAAAAAGAAAAAAGGAGGGGTGGGAAGAAAAGGGGGAAACAAAAAGACAATTTTGGCACAGCCCTTTTCCTTAAACTCGCCCTCAAAAATGGTTTAAACGTGTCGGCTGAAACTTTCCACACGCAAAATTCAGCCTAAAGCAGAGAGGAAGAGCCATGTGAAAATTCAGCACAAAGAGCTGGAGCTTGGCACGCTCAGAGCAGCCAGCGGGGCCGGGGACCAGCATGGGGACGGGCACGGCCCATCGCCGGCACGGGGAGCTCACCCCGATCGGGCCACTCCGCTCCCTCTGTGATGGGAAGTTTTCTTACTGCCAACTAGCTCACACCAACGCTACTTTTTGCAAAATATATTTGCTCTGAAGTCAAATCTTTTTGTTAGGAGAAACAGCTCCTTGTTGGTGCCATACATTTTCTTAATCTAAAACACATCTTGGCATCTCATGTAGTTAGAGTATTTTTATACAATAAATAGTTTCTATTTTTCCCTGATCTCTTTGAACCAAAAATGTGATTCTGATTTTCAGGGTGAACCTGGTGAGAAGGGAGGAATCGGCTCCATCGGACCCCGGGTATGGATGTTCAGGGTTTTTCTTTTTCGGTTTGGAGTCACGTATTTGCCTCCACCCGAGCTGTTCCCTGACACCTTGTTTTGCTTAGTACGGGGTTGAATTGGTTCAGGATGAGTTCAGTGCTAGAAAATAGAGACACTGCATATTTAAAGAAATCATTATGTGTGTACCAGACACTGCCATGGGGGATAGCTCTGGGAAATGCAGTCATGTCCCGTTTCCTTATCACCGTGACCATCCTGTGACCCTTTTTTTGCAAAAGGGAAGCTGTGAATAGGGGTAATGAAGTGGGGATTTCTATGCACTTCTCCGTTACACAGATTTATGCCCTTTTGTGGTTTGGTTGGGTGACAGTTACAGCTGTCGAACTGGGAACTGATGGAATGGATGGTGTTGGTAAGGTGATAATCCCCCAAACACCTGGGTGTCAGGTCTTTGCCTTCATACCACCCGCTTCTGAGATGCTGCAAAAACTAAATAGGATTTGTCCTCGTTTGCAGGGTCCCCCCGGCCTGAAAGGGGAGCAGGGTGACACCGTGGTGATCGACTACGATGGCCGAATCCTGGATGCGCTCAAGGTGAGCCCCGCACCAAGGTGGTGTCGGTTCCTGGGGGTTAATGGGAAGGGGCTGGAAAGCTGCTGAGCTCTGGGGTGGTGACGTTGTGGCACCTTGTCTGCCACTGTCCTGCTTCTCCTTCCCGAGATCTCGGTCTCGGCACAGAGCTGGCCAGGAGGGACGAGCTCATTGCATGCAGGGGCTGAGGATATTTAGGATGTACCAGCAAAAACGGTGGCAAAACCTGGGGCTGGATACCAGGCTCGTGGGATGGGAGTTAATATTCTGCAGGTAAAAGCAATGCGATGCAGCCTGTGACAATATAAACACCTGATGCAAGGAGTCTGGTCAGCCAAATGACAGCTGAAATGTTGCCAGCTGTGGGATGTTATTCCCTCTGCCATGCCGCGGCACAGTGAGGAGCTGCGGTTTTCACCGCGCATCCTCTGGAGCGGTTTTCCCTGCAAGCACCGGTGGGATGCGGGAGGAAGGGAAGCGGTGCCCAAGCCCTAACCTGCCCGACCGAGCAGCACCCTGCCATTTGGTTCAGATGAAAGAAGCCAAATAGAATAAATACTTAATTACAGACACAATTGAGAACGATCCTAATTGTTTTATAACAGGCTGCAGGGATACACAAAGTGCTGGTAATTACCGTTTGCCAGATGTCTGCACGGCATGCAGCTTGGTGAGCGGGGATTGTGGAGTGCAGTGGTTGCAGAGGCTCCGTCAAATGTCTGGAGGCTTCGTCTGCTGGGCACAGACCCTCTCCCACGTGCTGCATGGGGAAACTGCAGAGGGGCATGTCCCCGAACCTCGCTAACTCTGCTCCTCCTGTTTTCCTGCTTATTTGCTGCTCTCGGTGTGTGCACTGACCCATCTCATGGACAGGGCTCAGGAAAGGGGCTTCCAGCATGGTTAAACATAACAGTATTGGAGTGTGCAGGCATGGAAAAAGGTGCTTGGGGATGTGATGCTGTTTTGGTTTTCACCTGAGCGGCACCATGAGTTTTGCTGTTTGAGATAATTTGCAAGTTGAAAACTATTTGTTCATCTCTCTGCACCCAGCAGTGCTCAGCAGAAACAGCTTACTTACGTGTGCGAGGTGTTCCTGCTGCTGGGGCTCACACTGACTCCTCCATTGCCCCTCTTTAGTCGCACCTCCCTGGCTGGTTGTTGCTATTTTCCGCAGGATGCTTCTCCCCAGCCCGGCTGGCTGGAGAAGGGAGAACGCAGGAAGAGGAGACCAGGTGTGGGGCAACACCTCCAGCTAAAGGCATCTTGCCTCTGAAACACCCGTCCTGCTACACCTGGACCCCCAGATAGCTCCCATTGTGTTTACTTTTGCATGAATTTCTCCTGTGCCAGAGGAGCCCTTGGGTTGCTGAAAGAGGGGAGATTTAGATTGGATATTAGGAGGAAGTTTTTTCCTGTGGGGGTGGTGAGGCAGTGGCCCAGGTTGCCCAGAGAAGCTGTGGATGCCCCATCCCTGGAGGGGTTCAAGGCCAGGCTGGATGAGGCTTTGGGCAACCTGGGCTGGTGGGAGGTGTCCCTGCCCATGGCAGAGGGGTTGGAACTTGATCTTTAAGGTCCCTTCCAACCCAAACCAGTCTGTGATTCTGTGTCAGCGGAGCTCATCACAGCGTTTGGACAACGTGGGTCACACCAGTGTCTGTAGATCGCAGTTGGGAGTTGCTCCTGACTCACCCCTGGCAGCTCGGGGACACTTTGCAATATTCACATTAGCCATGCTCATGCCATTTATTTCCTGTGTTTCAGGGTTCACCGGGTCCCCCAGGGCCACCGGGCCCCCAAGGTGCTCCAGGTCCCAAGGTGAGCCCAACCTCTGCCACACAGATGGGGTTACCTAGAGAGCGAGGC